GTGTAGAAGGCTTCCAGCCGTACATGTTTGAGCCCTTGCCTCGCAACGCTGCCAGTTCTGTTAGCTCTACGCCTGCTGAAGACACAGACGTCCATCCCCGTGGACACTGGGACAGAACTCAATGCTAAAGTAAATTATTCCTATTTCAACCGTTGCGTATATAAGCTGCAACATATAAATCAAGATGCTAACACTGAAAAAAATTAATTGGCAGATGACCGTTGATATATGATTGGCCGAATTTAGGTGTTCAGGCTGACGTATAACTAACTGGCCTGCATAAGATAACAGAAAAACCCCCCACAGATTTTAAGACAGGATTTTTTTTTGTATAGAAATTTCCTAACTTTTGGGACAATATCGTCTGATAAAGAGTACATTTATATACACTTTTAAGCCAGATTGATTTAACTTTTAAACATCATGTCCCTACTGCTTTTTTGGAATGACCATGATCTGGATGACTGAGAATCTTCACCAGCATACTGGTGGTTTAGTAAATTTTTGAATTAAAGTTACCAGTTTGTTCTGGCGTTCTTTAATTTGCAGATATTCATATTATTTCTTAATGAGCACCACTTTTTATGTTGTGTTACATAGCTAAGGCTATGCTAATGCCTCTAAATATTGTTTTTTCTGTTGTATCAGTTCAACAAAGCCAAAGCACTGTCACACGCTCTCTGTCTCTCCGTAGCGTAATACATTATATGTTGGCTTGCCGTTTGTAAAGGATGGGATTAGACCCAGACTGCTGAAGCATTTAATGTGAGGGAAGGAGATCCTAGAACTCTGGATGGGTTAAGAAAACACATTTGTCATTGATGTTCCTGTGTCATGACTCTGGGATTCTGAGGGAAACAACTTGAGAGAAGCTTTCCATTCAGTATCCACACTAACTTTGAGAAAAGCTTTGTTTTTCATTAATAATAAGCTGCTGGGGGATATTTTTCAGAGCCGCCACTAAGCAACAGTGTAAGATCTTTAGTTTCACATGCATGATGCCCATTTTTCCCCAGCTGGTTTGTTACTGTGGGACTTTTCTCAGTGGAAACAATTAGACTGGAGTGCTAAGCCTAGAGGCTGTGTTCAGCACAAAGTAAAACGGTCGCTCATGTTACTCATGCTGCCTGCTGTGGGTGGACAGACAGACAGCCAGACGGATTGCATTCAACTCTAATCAGCCAGACGCTGATGTGGGCATGTGAAAATTCTCCGGACTCATGGTAGCAACAAACAGGCTTCAAGTTGGAGCAAACGGACCTTGGCTCAGTTTTACTAAAAAACCTGTAGTCACCTATCCAGGATCTTTGTCAGTTCTGTCAGCTCAGACTGGAGCAACCTGTAAATGCTGTTTCTAATCACATGGAGGCCAATCCGAGTCAGAAACACCCATCATTCTAGAGTCTGTTGTTTGGTGGGAGCTCTGTTACCTTCTTTTCCATATTTGTGGGATCTTTCCTAACTCATTTCACTCCCTTTTCTTTCGTTTTGTCCTGGGATGTGCATTTCTGCCCCTTATTATAAGAAATATCTGATTGACCCAGTCTGATGTTGTACTAAGCCACCTCCAGGGGCTATAAGCTTCATCTAAGCAGACTGGCCACTGCTGTAGATCCTGCTCTCTACTGGTATGACGGTTGAATTTGTAGAATAACACCAATAATACACAATTCAACAGCTTTTTTTTATTCTGCTTACTCTCTCTTGTTAATAAAGTTAAAAGTTTATTTTTTACTATTTGTTTCTCTCCAGAAATCTGTGTGATCAGTGAACTAGAAGATCTGAGTGCATCGGTTGACATCCAGGACGTCTACACAAAGATCAAGTGTAAAGTGGGCAGCTTCAACATTGATCACTACCGATGCAGGTATGAATCCCCTCACTGCTTGTAAAAACACCGTCGGTCGCATAAAACCTTATTTTGTTCTTTTTTTTATTTATTTCTTTTTTGGATCAAGTTGTATTGCTTTGCAATCGGCATGTTTTGAAGTATATATTTTGTTTTAACAGCCAGAATAAAGTCATTTTTCTCTACCTGATGCCAAACTTAAAAGTGCGTAGCCCCGCCTCCATAAACACGCCTGTATTCCCCATTTTTCTGAGTCAAAATGTTGGCTGTGAAATTGGCTAACTATGAGCATATCTTCCATCCCTTCATCACTCCGCTGCCCTCAAACGCAAGATCTCAAAGTCCCCAAAGTTCCCAAGAGCAGTCCGGTGTTCTGTCATATGAGCATACCCAAAGTCAATACCCATTTATCCCTTTAGTTTTTCCCTTTAGTTTTGTATAAAAAATAAACTTTAAAAGGGTTTCTGCAGGTCTTTAAAAATCATTAAAGTAATTATATTAATAAACATGACTTTTTCAGATATCTCCAAATGAGAGACTATTACAAAAAGGAAATACAGACGAGGCCCTCCGTGGAAGAGAGCGAAGTGGTCCAAATTATAATTAAAGCATACAAAGGCAGTAATAAAGCCCTAATAAACCTTGAGACACATACAACTATGTAAAGGGAAAATGGGAAAGAGAATTTGATTTAGAAATTGAAGATATTGATTGGCTCAACATGTGGAAACTACACCATACAACTACTGGCTCCCAGGCATTGAGGGAATTTGCCTGGAAAAATCTAATAAGATTTTTTATGACGCCCAAATCCAAAAGTAAACAAATACATAGGCATCAAGAATGTTGGAGAGATTGCGGGGAGATAGATGTCAACCATTCCCATGTTTTTTGCAAGTGTTCAAAACTTTTGGAGTTTTGGGAAATGGTTTGCAGCGTATTATGTGAAGTATTAGGGTATGTAATTCCAATGAAACCTGAAATTCTCTATTTGTGCGATTTTGGTGATGATGCTATCCATGAAAAGGATAACTATTTGGTAAAAGGGATGTTGATAGCTGCAAAGAAATGTATAACAAGGAAATGGGGGAAGTCAAACATGCCATCAAAGGACCAATGGATCACGACGATTCAAGACAAATTCCTCATGGAAAGACTAACACACACACAGACAACAAAAAAAACACAGAAAAAAAAAAATGGGGAAAATGGACATTATATAAACAGAAAAACTGAAAAGAAGGTGCTACCCAGACATGTTCATGTTAGTGTACTTTGTTCCTTTTTATTTGTATGTTCGTTGTATGATCAAAAAATAATTAAATCTAAGTGACAAGCCTTTAAATTAGGCCTTAATTGGCATTTAAACTAATTAAATGTGATTATAGTGGCATTTAAAATGCTTTATTTTACAATTTTGTCAGATATATCAGATATAAATGGTTCCGCGTGTTTACGCAGAACTGCTTCCAGTTGATCGTAAAGCCGTATGTTTGGAAAATAAGCTCGAGGCGGAGAAAAAGCTAGAGAATGGGGAAAATGCACATTTGAACAAAAGTGGCTGGAAAACGAGGAATTCAGGACATGGCTGCAGCCTTTCGATGGTAAAGATGACGAAGGATTTTGCCATGTTATTTATAGATTATTATTATTTATACATGGCATTAAACATTTTTCTGAGAGCATTAAAAAAGCATTAAACTAGAGTTACTCATTCCTGTATGAACCCTGTTTAAGTTATCTCAATGGGCGTGTATCCCTTTAGTCATGTGCAAAAAAACAATTTAATTGTTTTTTTTTGTGTGTTTTGAAGCGTATAGTGATCTCACCTTAAAATGTTTTTTTTTATTTTTTTTTTTTTTATACAAAACTAAAGGGATAAATGCAAATCTGATGTCTTTTGCATGCGTATTAAGTATGAGTTTGCTGGTCTCATGAGGTATGCTTATCTGACAGAACACCGGCTCTGAGAAGATAATAAAGAAATAATCTCAGTAATCAAAAAGCAGGCAACTGCATCCAGCAGAATGTTTGGCTGCATTTTTTAAGTCAACACATTCATGAATCTGAGCTTTAGTTTCGAAGTAGCGACACGATGAGAGTGAGTTGGACCACCAGAGGCCCTGTCTGTATTTAACCCCATCATAAACAACAGAGCCCCCCCCACACACACACACACAGCAAACATGATAATCATTATTGATTCTGATTTGCCAGGTTTTTAAATGCGTTGAGTTGGATCTTATGAACATCAGCAAAGGTCAAAGAGGACTTGAAGCCATTTGCTTGGCTTTGAACCCCGCTGACTAACTGGCATCCCACAGACCTCCCTGCGTTGCCTGCTGCTCCACTTGTAATCCTGTTGGACCACATATGTTTCGCACAGAGTCACCAAGCTTAGCCAGAACAACGTCAGCGGTTAGACGGTTCCAGAGCGTGTCGATGCTGTGGATGGTTATTATGATTAGCTCTGTTCTCCACAGGTGTGTGTTCAATTGCTTTTGAGACGGTGCCAGGCCTAATCTCTTTACTAGACCTCTATGCCTCCTCAAGTAGATAATTAGTCAATTTTCTCATTTCTAGGTTATTTCAGTGAATGCACATTTAACAATGTGGTCTCAACACACTTTTACCAACCACAGATCTGGCAAGCAGAAGCAATTCATTATCCATGCCAGGTTACAGTCATGGTTGTTCAAGCCACAGTGGAGAATCTCTGGGCTCCTGGCCCACTCTAATCTCTCTCATTCACTTATACAATATTGCTCACAGTCTGTATTAATCATCCTGAATAGATAATTGCTCAGTATTCTATCGCCCAGCCCAGGTTATTTGTGCACAAAGGGTCAGATTGGATCGAGTTTGGCAGATAAAAAATGTCTTGCCTTGGCTTAGCTTTGTCATGCTCTAAAATAAATAGACCATTAAACTGGACAAGCAAATGTGGGAGGCCAAATGCATAACTGAATCAGCGATAGTATCAGAATAGGATGAGGACAGAGAGGGTGGAGTAGGGAGGAGAAATTACAGAAGGTCACAAGGACTCTAAAATGGATGGACGCAGAAACCTTAGAGGGTGTGGAGGACATGAGGGTGGAAAGGTAAAGCAGTGATTCACTGCTAAATGTTTTAGGGATGTTTCCCGTCTTCTGGAAAGTTCAAAAGATGATCCTGTTTTACCTATTTTAACCTTTTCTTTCAACTCTGTGATGATCATTAAACTATAGTCTTACTCTTTCATGCCTCCAAAGAGGAGAGGTGACACTTTACCCCTATTGGCTCCGTGCAGCTCACACAAGTAGAGGTTGATGTTTTCCAGCTGTGCTACCGAGAAGCTGCAACTGTAAAATGACTGTTAGAAAGGAAACAACTTTGAGTTTTATGTGTGAGGGTTTTAACAAACCTGTCCATCTTAGCGTGACTTAATATCCAAGTGACATCCTGGTTTTGACAAGTTAAAGTATTTCAGCATGAAAACACAAATAAGCCAAACCACGGTCCTTATGGGAAAAAACCTTTATATGCTCTTATTGTTGCTACAGAAAAGGAAGGCAATCATCTTATATACAAGTTCATTTGATGAGATGAGAGGTTTTTTTTGGTAAAACCGAACAGTTAAGTTAAAGGGAACGAATTCTGGGAAAGATTCTCTGTATTAATGTGTGAGTAGTTGAGCTTCTGTTTATTCAAATGCAAAGCTTTGATCACCTGAAGCTGTTTTATATTGTCCCTATTTCCCTAACTTAAAGGTTTAAGTTCAAATAGAGCATCCGATAGATCTCACATAATCGGCATAATAGTGGGATACATTTTCTCAAAGGGGCCTAGTCACGCGCTATGATTATACAAATCTCTACGCTGGTAAATTCTTTTGGTTGCATACAAAGAAAAAAAAGATAAAGTGAGATTAATAGCATAAGATGATTAGATGCCAAAGGAGATAAGACCTGAGTAGCCCTTGGAATATAATGTGAATTTTAAAGTTCACTAAGATGAGGGCTAACGGGGCTTTAGGGACCTTTGACTCCTGCTGCGATTTTGGAGGATCTGGCTTGTTGCGTTTCCAACTTTAGAACAGGGAGACAGTCGCTGCGTCCAAGCCACGGCCTCTCCTCCTGCAGAGCTCAGCGTTGCCAGCTGCTCAGCAAGAAGAGTTGGCTTTCCTAAAGCCACTTAATTACGTCATCGCCTACTTTGCATATTCCATTTCATCCAACTGCAAAGGAGACTCAGAATCCCTCCGATTACCTATTTATTTTCCTTTGGCTGTCGGTCAAAACAGTGCAGAAAGATATTAGGATAGCCAGAAAGGAAAATCACTGGGGTTTTTAAAGAGTAACAGCTTTTATAGAAACAAGTAAGTCAATAAAATTCAGCCCTTTAGTTTCATACTCCATACCAGTTGGTGGCGGTAATGCACTATTAGTTGTCAGCCAACTGCCAAAACACACGGAAAAGAATAAAGCAGTGCAGAGAAACAAGGAGAATGACGCTATTAATTAAAAAGGCAGTTATTTTATTTAGTGAGTCAGCCGTGTCAGTAATAGACAGTAATTAACATAAAATAGTCTCTAGATTTGCCGCTTTTTAAAAATAAAGGCGGTACAGAGGTATAAAAATTTGCTAAATATAGGAACAAACGACTGAGTTGGTGACACTGGCAGAGCTGTATCTTCCCTGTCAGCCATTATAAATGGTAGCGGGAAGTTCCAGAGTGCCTGGCCAGTTTCAAAGAGGCTAGAATAGTTTTTAAAATTGGTTTCTTTATCTACATTAACTGTCTTTACACATGATGTTTCGAGGTGTACTTAAAAACATCTTAAACATCTTTTTCTGCACATCACAGATTACAAAGCTACTCTTTTAATTGCATCTGTTATTGTACACAAGAACTAGCTAAGCATAGAACAGGAAGTGCCCTCCCAGCGGGTTAGACAATATACTTTGTGGACACATAATTACAGCATTTTTGAAGCTTTAAGCATTTGCCTTGATTCAAAGTGCTAAAGTGCATTGGACGCCTTTTTGACAAGGAAAATTCGGTCTCATCGCAGCATAAAGTAACAGAGATTGCTAAGTCGATGGATGCATGGTTAAGTACTGCTAGCAGACAGCAATGGCTTACAACAGTGTGTCTTCCTGCTGGTGCAAAAATTCGTTTTAGGCTAAAAAAAGACAAAGTAAACAGCTTCAGGATGAACATGGCTTTATCTTAAAGGTATAGAGGACAATCTTATATTTCCGGGTGGATCATCAGGTGGTCTCCCTAACTGTCAATCATACTGGTGATATGTTTACCTAAGGTGTGCTCGTCCTGTTAGCCATCTTTTTCTGCTCATGCGCACCTTCAGTCGTATATCTGTGGTGAGCTACGGTTTCAGACAGTCATTGAAGCTCACCTTTCTCTCCGCAGTTCTTTGAAAATGGCAGAGAGTCGTAAGTGTCAACGAAGTCTATGAGGAAAAAAAGAAAGCCCTCAGAAAAGGCAGATATATCCCAGAATGCTTTCTCTCATCGCAAAGCATTATGGTATTTGCTCTCACAGTGGCCCTCTGTCGCCATAGGCTGGTTCTACCGGACAGCTGCACCGAATTTTTTATTTTTTTTTCTAAAGACATAGGATGTGACTGGGTCCTTTTATTTCAGGAGATTTGCTGCACTATATGATATGTACATAATTTGTCTTTAAAGTTGGTTTTACATATTTAGGCCCAATTTCTATTCATTTCTATAAGCCGTCGCATCAGTTTGTGTTTCCCTAAATACAGTAAGTGTTCTTTTCTTTAACATGACCTTTACCTTCCCCAGCAGCAGCCACACTCTGTGACTAAACAATCTTTTTAAAGGTTGTTCTTGCATATGTCTCTAGTCCAGGGCGTGACTTTCAATCTGGGCAATATGAAGGAATCATTCTACATTGCAAGGACACAGCTGTGGTGAGGCTCCTTTGTGAGAGCAGCCATTGAAGCCTTAGTTCTTCATAAACCGTCTCTTGCTGCTCTGCTGCTTTTATTTAAGATTTTTTTTTCTTCATTTTTTCTGATGCTGGACAGACAGGAAAAATTGCTGTATTAAAAAGTGTAGACAGAAATTAAAGGGGTCATAGAATGCAAAACCGAGATTCCATTTTCATAGATAAATAACGATACTTCAGTGGGAGAAATGGACATACAGAGAAGTTCAAACCCCATCAACACCTCCTTTCTCTGCAAATCTCACAATTCTAAACTTCCACAATAAAACAGGCAACCCAGATGAACCCCCCAGTTGACATAAACTTCGGGATGTTGCCTTATTTGGTTCTGGTCTGTACTTTTGTCACACCCTGGGGGGATGCTGGATGGGGTTATGAAGTGTCAACTGCTTGGCCCCTGACTGGGACCGGACCTCAGCAGAGAGCCATGAGCTGCCCTTCCTGAGCCGGAGGAGCGGGGCTGGCGGCCGGTAAAGCAGGTGGGGGGAAGCACGGAGCCGCCGTTGTCCAGGCCACCGTCACCGGGTCGGGTACGGTTGCTCCGTCCCCTGGTGGCTCCCTTCCTCCGTCTGCCAGGGTTCCCGGATCAGCCCCGGAGCTGACGGCTCAGTTCGAGTGCCCGGTGTTTTGACTGCATGCTGCACTGTAGTCGACCAAAATCCCAGACAATTTTGAAATTCCCCCCAAACTTTTTTTTTTAGGTATGAAAAGTAGTAGTAGTAGTACATGTCCGGGAAAGAGAGGACGTCTGGTCACCCTACCATATCAACAATTTGCTGTTTCAGTGAGTGAGTGCTTGTTGCTATGATGCGTCTTTGCTCAGCAGCTTTGTTCGTTGTAAACCAACCAATCAGAGCACAGCTCATCTAAATATTTATGATCATACCATAAAAGGAAGAAAACCTGTCGTTTCATTCTAGGGCTTTTATCCAGGCTTGCATTAGGGCTCATAGAACAGCAAATATGCCATTTTCAGCCCAACCAATGTTACACACCCTATTCAGAGACCTTAAGAACCAGCACCAGATACCCTATAGAATCATTCTATGACCCCTTTAAAGTGACACAATATGGTTGAAATGATTGGCTGGTTTGGATATAATTTGATGTTTTTTTGGAAAACGTTCACCTGTCTCTCCAGTAACTGATTGAATTCTCAAGCCGATAAGATCTGGTCAAAGCTAATCTTCTGCATCTGTTTTAAAGACTTCTGGTAGATGGACTTTCATTCCTTTTTTCCTGTTGAAAGTTTATTGTTGTGATGGTCTTATACTAGCAACCAGAAAGGAGCATTAAAAACCAGCACCGCAGTAATTACTATGGATGGGATCTTAATTGTTGTGTTCAAATGATGGCTCATGTTTAGAGTCCCCAGTTAGTCCAGTCTCTGAGGAGCTGTATTATAAGACCATTCCTAAATATTTCAGCTGAATCAACATCAGAATCTAACTCTGGGTTTTAATCAATGACCTCTTTTCTGATTTTTTTGGAAAATTTAAAACAGTGATGTACGTGTCTGGCTTTTCTCTTCATTTTGTTCCTTTGTCTTTACTCCATGTCCCACTTTTTTTCTGTTTCTGCATCTTTTTTCCGTGTCATTGTCCTCCCTCTCCTCACCTCCAGTATGGAGGAGGGTGTTCGGACCCCGGGCGGCTGCGGAGGAGTGGTCCTCTCTTGCACTGACAAGCTGAACAGACGTACTGTGTTGGTTCGACCCGTCAGCAAGCAAGCCTCTTTCAGCCACTTCTCTGGCTTTTCCCCTCCTGTAAGAATCCAGCTTCCTTTTCTTTTGTTGACTGTTTAACATCCATCAACAGCGGCTTACAGTGTCTGTGTTCACATTTTTCAGACAGTATTTAAGAGAAATATGTTAGAAAAGGAAATCTGACCCTTACTGCTTCAAAAGAAATGACATATCGGTTATCATAAGACTTCATCGGGACCTAGAAATAATTTTTCTGACAATGATACTTATCTGAGTCATTTAAGATTGGGCGTAGATCCCTCCCCGGCGCCTGGATGATACTTTATTTAAATTATTAAAATCACTGCCATGTTATATGTTCAAAGAGGCAGTAAAATGAAATTCCAAAGATTTAATCAGTGTGACAAAGATACTTTCTGGTTCATTGTAGGAACTCTAGTGTCTCCTATTCTTTCTTTGCTTGAAACCCGCAAATACTTTTACTAAAACGAATCCATACCAAGATAGAGCAACTCTGTTAAAGACCGACTTGTAAATAAGATTAGATTTTATCCGCTCATCTATATAAGCCTACAGGATAAAAAGTAAAAATGATTTTACTATTTAATTTTTATGATCATATAACAGGGTTTCCGCAGGTCATTAAAAATCATTAAAAGTTATTTAATAATTTTTTTAATTAAGGCTTTAATTGACCTTAAAATTTATTAAATGTGATTATAGTGGCATTTAAAATGCTTTATTTTAAAAAAGAAAAACGTTTATAAAAGCAATTTCGTCAGATATATTATATCAGAAGGGAATATATAGGGAATGGGAAAATGCTAATTTAAGCAATAGTGGCTGTTTAAATTGCAGCATGTCGACGGTAAAGATGGCAAAGGATTTTGCAATCTTATATATATATATATATATATATATATATATATATATATATATATATATCTGAGAGCATCAAAAGAGCATTAAAAAGCATTAAATTACAGTTACTCATTCCTGTATAAATGCCGTATAAGCTTTAGACCTATAAGCATATGGGGTAAATGTTGGTCCATTATTGTTGCAAGCAAAGACCATGTTTCTAAATTGCAATTAAAACATTCAGAAGTATCACTTTGAAAAAAGTTCTTATCAAAAAAGGTTTTGAGAATATCTTCGCATTTTTCTCAGGTTTTCATTGTTTTCAAATTTTAGATTTCATAATTAGGTTTTTCAGATCTAAGTTTTTTTACACTTTGATTTTTTTTTATTTTATTTCCGTCCCGGGGAGGAGTTGGACAGCTTGATATGTCAGAAAATATCTAAAATGCTAGAGAGGAAGGAGGCAACAAATTGGTAGAATAAATTACTATAAAGTCCACTGTTCCTGGATGTTTCGCAGACTTTAATGTCTTAAATCAATCCACCAGATTTTTAATGAGAAAATATTTCCAAATTACTTAAAAAAAAAAAAAAAAAGCTATTATACCATTTTACCTCATAGCTGCTTTAAAATATGTTCAAAAGTGGATTTTAAAGAACCCAATACAATCAGATGTTTTTAGTGTGGAGTGATTTCCTGCTTCTTGCTAAGTGATTTAACTAAACATTAAACCTGTTCTCTAAGCCTTCCTCATCAGTGGCTTCAGCTTTGCTTTCCTTTTGGAGTTCCTCATCAATTAAGCTTGAGTTGTTGGATGAGGTCCTGCCTATTTTTGAAATTATGGTTTCTTACTTAAAGCCTTTAAAGTAACTATAAACTAATCTAAAAGTCTCATATTAAGATCAAAAATGTATTTCCTCATCCAAGAATTCAAGCCAAAATGATGCTGATCAGCTCTGGGATCTGTGCTTCTCTCTGTAATCATGTCTATAGACTGACTGATTTGTCCCGTCTCATATCAGATGGCAGCTAAAATCCTGGAAGGTTCTCATCAGCAGCATGGCTTCCTGTCAATCACCTACACTCAAGCTGTTACTAAAAATGTCCGACACAAACTCGTCACCCGACCCGAGCGCCCGTCACGCAGCAGCATGACCACTGCAAGCCAGAGGATCGCCGGCGAGCTCCTGGGGGACGGCTCGCCTCAGTATCTGAGGGAGATCCTGCTGACTGCGCAACCTTTCGACGTGGTTTTATTTTGTCCCTTACTGGCTACTGTAGCAGGAGTGTTTCAGGTAATGCATGTGTTTCTCCTTAGGTGTGTCTGTGAATAGTCGTTTGTCTCTGTCTTGTCTCTGCGTTGCCCTACGATGGACTGGCGACCTGTCCATGTTGTACCCCGTTTCTTGCCCGTAGACATCTGGAAATCGGCACCAGCACCCCTCACGACTCCACTTGGGATAAGCGTGACAGAAGATGGATGGATGGATGATGGATGGATGAATGTGTTTTGTAGGCTTAAATAAACATGAAGAATTGCTGATAGAAACTATTCTATCTTCACCGAATCATAAGGAGGGGACAATAAATGTTCTGCCATAATAGTGGGCATATTAGACTTAAGTGGTGATTAAAACACATAACTGTTTTTATAATTGGCGCTTTATAAATAAACTGAATTAAATTTAATAACTGTGACCTTTTCTTTGTTATTTACACCCGTGGTTCGATGTCTCTCCAGACTACCGTCCCACGGCGCTACAGGGAGCGTGGGAAGTCAGCAGGTCAGCCCATGCGGAGCCACACTTTGACTTCTAGGTGTTTACCTCTAATTTACATCAACACCAGTGGGATCAGAGTTTTCTGCCACGGAGCTCAAGACAAACATGCAGCTTCAGGTCAGATATTGTCATATGACTCACACTTATTATAGAAAACATCTAACTGTGTTTTGAATTTTTTGAAAAAATAGATACTATATTTGTTTTAATAGCTGGACGATTTTTACTTTTTATTTAATTATATTCCCACCAGTCTGAGTCTTTTCTCTAACCAAGCTGCGATTTATAAAAACGTAAAATGAAGCATAGCAGGAAATACAGACTTAACATTACAGATAACACTTTTCAGCCTCTTCAGAGCCTTGGCACACAGTAACAGTAATGCCTGTTTAAAGGTGAATGTTTTACATGTGAGGATGGGATAATGGTCCTGTGTTAAATAAGAAAATAAATGGAAAAAATAGGATATAATATGTTAAACTCAATTAATTCATAAATAAACAGAACAACAAATTTCACTCTGAAACTTTGCAGAACTCAGAACTCTTCATCGCCATCAGTCTCTCTGACTAGTCAGATTCCCTGACTAGTCAGATTCTCTGACTAGTCAGGGAATTTCTAAGATCTGCAGACATTTATTGATGTGAAAAAAGAAGCGCATCCTTATCCTATCAATAGAGATGAAACCACTGTAGTCGCTCTAGTTAAGATTTGCCGCTTTGTTCGGGTTTGGAGAGGAAATAAATAAATCTTAAAAAACTAGAATAAGATAAAAATGTCTCTTAAAATGTTTGTTTAGTTTTACTTCATGGTGACATTTATTGATTACATAGAACATTTATTAATCATTTATCAATTGCAGAATTGGTTTATTTATTCATGATTTTTTTTGTATTTAACTTGTATTTAACTGAGTGAAACTGCTTTCCATATTCAGGAACGTTGTTAGGTTTTAATCAATGGTAACTCAATGATAACTTTTCTTGCTGGGATTCTTTTTAATTTACAAAAGTAGATGAAAATTGAAAACTGTAAAAAAAGAATTAAATAACAAAGAAGTTTGAAAAACGAGAAATTGAAAATGAGCAAATATGAAAATTTTTATCAGAACAGCTAAGCTTTTTGGACTAAGATGTTTTTCAATTTTTTTTTTTATTTCTAGAAAGCATTTGTTTTTACTTTCCATGTACAAAACATGTTTGCCTGCAACAATAATGGAACAAAATTCACTCCATATTTCAGTCCACAGTACTTTGCTCTGTATGCCCTGACTTTCCTCTGCTCGTAGACTCCAGTGAGAAGAAGGAAGACACGGTGGTGTTAAAGCTGGGTTCCCTCAGCGTGGCTCCGCAGGCTGACAACCCTCTGACCCGCACCGTGCTCCGAAAAGATATCTATCAGTAAGACAAACTCTTTGTTCATCAAAGCTCCTCCTAATGAATTTACGATTTCATGTTCCTCCAGATAATTACTGCTCTGATGAAACACCAATAACACGTTTAAAGGTTTGGAGATTTATTACCAAGTTACCATCCCTATTTTTTACATATTTCATCCGAAATCTCCAACATCTTTTTCTTTTCTGTCTTTCGATTCAAAGTTTGGTCGTACAGCTTGATTATTTTCTGCTTTGAAGTCACAGATTCATCCTAGCTGTTCTTAGCCTCCACAGATAATTCATTAAAGATGTCTCTGAATAGTTTTAAACATGAAGACATGAGAGAATTTTCCGTGTTTTTTATCATGTGCCATCATTTGGACGCTCCTGTGTCCTTTGGGGGAAAAGCAGGAACGTTTAACCGCCCCTCATCCTGGTGTCTGTGCCACTGCAATGACAGAGCAACGAGTGAACTGCGGGGGTCTGGCTGAACCGCCAACTGAAACACAAGACTGTTGACACAACCCCTCATCCCCCTGTGCCATGTGGATCAAAGCTGCAGGGCAAGGAAAATCTGGACTTTAGAGGAAAAATACTTCAGTGCAAAACACAGTTTTTTTTTCTGCTATAGGCAGCAAGAATCTGGATTGTGTCATAGCTGCCTGAAAACCACAGCCCCACAAAGTGTGTGTGTGAGAGAAGGAGAGGGAAGCTGGGCAGATATGAAGCTGGCAAACACATGTAATGAGGGAGATAAAAGTGGTGCCTAATGCTTTGTGCAGATGCAAGGGAGATGGAGAGAAAGAAAAAGTAAAGTGGACAGAAATCTGCAGGGGTGGGGGGGGTTGGTTGTTGTGTTGTGTTGGGAGCCAGTCTGGCTCTGAGAGTCGAAGCAGGTTTGACAAAACTTCAACCTGATGCTTCTGCCTGTGATGAAATGTTTTATTTCTGAAAGCACACACTGAAAAAATTATCTAGAAATACGTCAAAATTTCTTAAATTAAGTGTATTTACCCTTAATTTGAGTAGGTGAATGAGATAGTTTGGTAAAGGGATGAGTATTTTCAGTCTTAAAATAAGATAATTATATAATATGCACTTGAAATAAAACAATGCAATTGTTTTTTCTTATTTTAAATGTAAATTGTCTTGTTCCATTGGCAAAATGTCTAATGTTCCTCCTCAATCAAAGAAAAAATGCATTTATCTTAAGAAAAAATGACTTGCGTAGATTAAATTTTTTTGCAGTGCAGATGCTCAACTTTAGCTCCACTCAGACTTTTTTTTTTACCCACTTACAGGCCATGCTGTTATCTTGTCAGATGATAAATAATGATCTGCGGGCATGGAGAATAATCTGGAGTTTTTTTCTCAGACTTTCTGCTTTAAACCCAATGAGCCCTTCCATGTAATTTCAGCCTTTACTGCCTAACGGTGCGGTGCCCACATCTGCGTACACACTGCCGCCGTCGCACAACGCTCCACCCTGGTCTGAACGCACACACATTACAATACGCACGTCGAAACGTCCTGACCGTTCAGGCAAAGCGCGGACAAACACGTACACAAACTCACATCGCAGAAGAGGAGCGGATGCCGAGTCATCCTCTTAACCTCAGCATACAGAAGCCAGCAGCCACCACTTTCCTCTCAGCACTGAAACCCAGGAATTATCTTCAACCACTATCTATGTTCCTTCTTCCATTCCTAACCAGACGTTACCCCCCCGTTCTTCCCTCCAATTCTGGATGATAGCACTTTTAAATCTCATGATGGATAACCCTGAGATCAGGCTTTATCTGCGCTCAATTCTGCACCCCATGCTCCCCCAGGTCGCCTGTAGAAAGTCATAAAGAAAGTCTGTAATCATACAAACCAATGTGTGTTTACAGTCTTTAACCAACTGTCACTATAGCAAGAAACACGGTCGGGTCCCAATAGCCATTTGCTGCAATTCTGTTTAGAGTCCACCGCTAATTACATCCGCTGTTATAATTAAATGACTCATTAACGCAGCTATGCTTTTATTGTCTGCTGCTCAGAAAGCGGTTGCCTCAGAGTGTCTAAAACCAAGATTTACTGTTATGCCACCCGAGGAGACGAGCGCTGAGATGGGGAGAAAAGTGAAGGCTGAAATAGCAGGCATATGTAAACACTTTAATGGAGTGTACGGAGATACAATTTCACTAACGCCGTTTCAAACTCGCATAAAGCTCGAACATCCAGGCGTAGGCCTGACGTGTTCACAATGCAGCGTGCGTTCACCATTAGGAGTAACAAAGACTTCATCAAAGAGGCTGAAGCCGCCTGCTTGGCTGGAATATGACTCTATACCCACCAGAAGTTCTGACAGCTCTGAAACCCTGCCCTCTTTCTCTCGTCTTATCTTCAGTTACAAGGCCGCTGTCAATTTATACAGCTGAAAACATTTTCCTGTCTTCACAAAAAGCGGGACGTTTTTTTTCATGTTCTTGAGCAGCATCCCAGGGAATGTCCAGCATTCCCAGGGCCCTGACTTTTTTGTGGTTTGGGCCTCTTTTATATCTTATACATATATGTTCTCCCTTCTCTTTTTAAATGGGAACCACTCCTTGACATTGTGTGTGGGGACTGGGTGTCCATATTCATTGGGAGGAGTTTGGCTGGCTTAGAGTGGGAATACTCGCTGTGAAATTGTCCTTCAAAGGCAAAGAAATGAATAAAATGTTTTTTTTAGATCTTTGCACTGTTAGTGTTATGTACTTTATTAGATTAGTAAAATGAAAATTGCTACTTTTCTTGTTTTGTTCTATTTCACAATGAAATAACTGCTGGTTTTATCAAGTTGAACCTCTTCAATGGTGGTTTGGATGCCTTAAACTTTCTAGACTCCCTCCAGTTTTGAAAATTCAACAAGATCTGACAGGTCTACAGGCCTTTGGATCAAACGCTGTTTGTTTTCTGGTGCATAAAACCAGCTTAGTGGCCTGTCACACCATTCCAATTTAGCCAGCGTATGCCTGACGTCTCAGAATCTTCTAAAACACTGGAATACGCTGAACTTTCGATGTATTTTTTTTTTTATTTTGGCCGTGTACATAGCGTATTCGTAACGAGTCTAGAACTTATGTCCAAAGACAGCCTAACTTATGCATAACACACAACGTAATGCCCATGAAATGGTGCACAAGCATAGTTTCATGGGCATTACGAAGTATCAGTTAAAGATGCTCCCCGGAGGCACCCGGTCTGCATAAAAAGATTTATTTGATCATGGTATTAACCTAGCTGCTGTACTTTTTTGATAATCCATGCTTTTGACAACACTACTCTCACCTTCACGTCACTCTATGGTTGTGTTGAAGTCTGGAGGAGAACTGACGGTTTTCTCCTGTGAACCCCCTTTATACCAAAACACTGCCAATACGCCATTATATAGTAGCTTTAAGTTATAAACATGGTCAGCGGGTGTCTGGAAAACATCAAATGCATGTAAATGCCTTGGAGATATGTTCTTGTTAAGTTATGCATAAGTTACTTTGGATAGGTTTTGGATAAGCTAGTGACTTATGACTAACTTGCACTTAACATATGTCAATAATCAGATAACTTACCTGTAACTTATGGCCCAGGTTTGAGCTTATGCTGGCATACGCCGGGAAATTTTAGCATGCTTAAAATTTCTCGTAGTACTTGCCGTATGTCGACGTGTGCCAGAGTGTTTCAGCGTGCTCATAACTTATATAAAACGTACCCATAACTTATCCAACTTTTGCCAGCATTTTTGAAAGATTTTTCGTACGTCCGGCATACGCTGGTCTAAATGGTCAAGGTGTGACAGGGGGCTTCCGGACGATACTGGATTTGTGACATGATGCATTATTTTGCTGAAAGTCGCCATCATAACATCAAGCTTGAATAGTTCAGTTAGACAGCTTGATCTGGAGTTTTCTAGAAGACATTCACAGATATCGTCCCCCCCCACCGCCATTCATTGTGGAAACAAGTAAATTTTTATTTATAAAGCAGTTTTCATACAATTAATGTGGTACAAACTGCTTTCTAGAATTAAAAATATGACCCCTTTGCCATCCAACATAGAATCTATATAATTACACTTAAGCCCAAACATGACTCACACAGTATTTCTAATCTGAATGTGTGTCTAGGAAATACCTCCACATAATCCCTCACCACCTTCAGCCAGAAATGTGTGAAGGAAATTGATCAATGCTTAGATGTTCTTTGTAACAAATTCTCCCTTGACTGTGTGCTTGCAGCCCTGTGCAACAGAAAATTGATGTGTTTTTAATTTTGTAAGCCTCTGAGAAGTTTTGCGTAAGTTTCTTATCATTGCCTGACAAGAACAGCACCTAGTGCGGTTTCTGTTGCAGTCTGTTGTAAGCATCTGTATAAAGGAACGGTAAAACCTTTCTGTTATCTTCAACCTGGCTTTCCTTTCCACTCCGATGTCTATCACTAAGTCATTTTTATCCCTACATGATGTTTTCTGTTCAATTTATCCATTCCATTTAGCTCTGGAGGATGGATGTGTAAAAAAAATCCCAATTTCTCAGATCAGAACACTATCTTATATTTTCTATAGAAACTTAGCACTCACTACATATTGTTTATAGTCTTCTGCATGAGGGAGCTTTTACTCTCCACTGTCGCTGCATGCTTGCTCACTGTGAGGGATTGCTGCAGACTCAAACACACAATGTGAGCAAATGTCTGCTGATGCCTCTTGCTCATTAAGGAGGAGGAAATCTGCAAAGTCAACGACTGGATGCAATGAGCTGGTTTTTCTTAAAAACATTTAACCAATCTGATTGGATGATCTGATTGGATTATCTCTACACAGCATTGAGATGAAGTGTTGTTAATTGGAGCTGTATAAATAAAACAGAATTGAATTTGTGTTTTTCAGTAGATGGTAGCTAACTCAGAAAGCTCAACATACAGTGGGTATAGCAGTAAGTCGCTTTGTTCTTAACTCTGAATTGGTCCCCGGTAAAGGGTTAATGGCTCTATGGGTAACAG